ACAATATATTGGCGAAACCTCCCTTATGTGTTTCCTACAGCAAACACTTCAAATACAAGTATAGAGCCAACACTCATAACTTCAGATATAAAAATGATACATGCATACAAACAGGATGAATATATTCAGTAGAGCTTAACCTTTGCAAAGATATGTTACATGGCATATCTAGCACAAAGCATATTCCAGTTTGCTTATACTTACACTTATAAGCATATTTCCATAAACATATAGAGTGCAACGTCACAATATGGTTATAATCAACTACTTAAGATACACACACAGAGACTTGTCATACACATGTATAGAGCTTTCAATATGCTGTTACAGTCCACAATGATAGAATACACAGAACTCTATACATATGAATAAGAAAACATTACATATTAAGAAAAACATCTATTTCTTAATACTGACATTCTGTGAATGTTGGCCAGACAATCACAGAATGGGTGAGGTGGATCATTCAATTGCAGACATCCAGCTTTATTAGCAGACACACCCAAGCAGTCTTTTAAGAAGGAAAGGAAATTAGACTTAGGCCTGGTCTACACTAGGACTTTAATTCGGATTTAGCAGCGTTAATCCGAATTAACCCTTCACCCGTCCACACTACAGAGCCAGTTAATTCGAATTAAAGGGCCCTTTAAATCGATTTCTGTACTCCACCTCGACGAACGGAGTAGAGCCTAAATCGATTTTGTTAATTCGAATTAGGGTTAGTGTGGACGCACACCACCGAATTACTGTGTTTAAGTTAATGGGGTAGTGTGGCCGCACACCACCGAATTAATGTGGTTAAAAACCGAATTAAGGTGCTTAGTGTGGCCGCGCACAATCGAATTTATACAACCTGTTTCCCAAATTCGAATTATCTAAATTCGGATTAATCCTGTAGTGTAGACATACCCTTGCACTCCTTCACCAATCCCTCTGCCTCGTCTCAGGTCCTTCTGCTCTGTCTGCCTTCGCTCTGATCTTTTCTTCTCTCTCGCTGCTTCTGCCTGGTTGCCTTATCCGCTGCTCTTGATCTTCTCCTGGTCTCTTCCACTCTCACACACCCACACACATCAGCCTGTCAAAGCCTCCTTTTATTCAGTTTCTGGCCTCCTCTGATTGGTTGACCTTTCAGACTTGGATTAGCATAGCCTCTTCTGCTCCTCCCTACATGGGTGACAACTGTCCAGCCAATCAGCTTTGCCTGTCGCTCAGGCTGCTGCTCCTCCTACCCCTCCCTTCAGGTATTCTGGAGTGAGTTGGTCATAACTTATTGAACTTTGTTTCACCCCTATCTCTCATCTGCTATTGGTCAGTTCAGTCTGTGTCCTCCATTTTTGATATCTTCTAATAGAGAATCAGTGTCTCCACCATTTTGGATTTTTAGCTTTACACTATCATTATTTATAGCTTATCTAAAGCATCTGGCCTAGAATTAACTACTGTTCTCTGCAAACTAAAGCACTCTGATGCTATCACTCCCTTTGTATGCTAATTGGGAGAGGTGAATTGTTCATGGTGTTTCTCACTCTTTCCCCCCCCACCCCCTAACTGTCAGGATCTCTATCCAGGGTGCTGCAATGTATACAGGATCCTAAAGGTAAAAATCTCTAGTAACACTGCTCTACAGCCAAAATGCTTCTGAAATAAATGTAGTCAAACTTTACTAATTCTGGGTCACTGAGAACGAAAATGATGCTTAAAATTGTTGATAGGCTCTAGTTTTCAAGATATGCTATTGGGTCAGACCCTTGACTTGGGAATGGCGGAGGATAAGTGAGTTATAAAGGGAAGGGATCTCAATTTAAACCAGAAATGACTAAAATACATCTTTGACTGGATCTATGAATAAATCTATGACTGGGTTTGGACAGTACTTGCTTTTTAGGCAAAACAATGAATGATGCAATCTGATGCTGGTATTTCGTCATACATGATATGAATTGCATCATGTTATTCCTAGAAGTCATGGATGATGCAATCATAACGAAGCTTACATCACTCTGCTGAACAAATTGCCCTATATCAGCTCTAGAAATCATACAGTGTCGTGCTCTCTTATTTGTCAGTGTTTGATTTTGCAAAGGGACACATTTCTGTTTAGCCAAAGTGAGCAGAGATGCCTCGTACTTGTGTGAACAGTGCAGATAACTTCTGCTATGTTTGTGGTGAAGTGACTTTTGCATCACAAAAGCGCAGTATAACCACTATGGTTAAGAAAGCCTATCAACTTTCTTTTGGCTGCAAAATTGGAGATCAGGACAAGAGGTGGGCCCCACACATATGCTGCAACACTTGTGCAACAAATCTTCGCCAGTGGTTGAACAGGAAAAGGAAATCTATGCCTTTTGCAGTGACAATGATTTGGAGAGAGCCAACAGATCATACCAGCAATTGTTACTTCTGCATGGTGCCTCCAGTTGGGAAAGGTGTGTCAAAGAAGAAAAAGTGGACTGTGCATTATCCAAACATTCCATCAGCTATACGCCCAGTATCCCACGGAGAAGGACTGCCGGTTCCTGATGCACCAGAATCATTCTCACTTGAGTCAGACGAGGCAGAGGATGAAACTTCTGGTCCTGAACCATCAATGTCACAGGACCCACATTTTCTCCCATCCTCCTCCTCTGAACCACACCTCATAACACAAGGTGAACTGAATGACCTTGTCAGGGATTTGGAACTACCCAAGAGTAAGGCAGAGCTGTTGGGCTCCAGACTACAGCAGTGGAATCTCCTGGGAGGTGATGTTAGGGTTTCCATGTTCCGTGACCGTCAAAAGGATCTTGTCCCATTCTTCTTCATGGAAGGTGATCTTGTAGCCTGCAACAACATCGATGGTGTGATGGCAGCCCTCAACATCGTTCATGATCCAGATGAGTGGAGACTGTTCATTGATTCATCAAAGACGAGTCTTAAAGCTGTTTTACTGCATAATGGCAATGTTTTGCCATCAATTCCAGTTGGTCATGCAGTCCATATGAAGGAAACCTATGACAACATGAAACAACTTTTGAGGTGCATAAACTATGACCAACATCAGTGGCAGCTTTGTGGCGATTTGAAGGTTGTTGCTCTCTTGCTTGGTCTGCAGACTGGATACACAAAGTACTGCTGTTTTCTCTGCAAATGGGATAGTCGTGCAAGAGATTCCCACTACATCAAGAAAGATTGGCCACTCCGACAGTCATTGGAGCCTGGGAGGAAAAGTGTTCAGCATCCACCACTTGTTGAATCAAGGAAGATTTTGTTACCACCCTTACACATTAAGCTGGGTCTGATGAAGAACTTTGTCAAGGCCATTGACAAAACACAAGCAGCTTTCAAGTACCTCCGTAGAAAATTTCCAAGGTTAAGTGAAGCTAAGATAAAGGAAGATGTCTTTGTTGGTCCTCAGATTCGTGAACTTCTTCGAGATGATGCATTTGACCATGCACTGCGTGGCAAGGAAAAGACGGCATGGAAAGCCTTCCAGTTAGTGGCAATAAATTTTCTTGGAAACAACAAGGCAGACAACTACAGGTTGTTGGTAGAAAACCTCCTCAAGGCATACAAAAGCCTTGGTTGTAACATGTCACTAAAGATACATTTTTTGCACTCTCATCTACATTTTTTTCCACTGAACTGCAGAGCAGTGAGCGACGAGCACGCCGAGCGATTTCACCAGGACATTGCAACAATGGAGAAACGCTATCAGGGCAAATGGAGCCCATCAATGCTTGCAGACTATTGCTGGACAGTGACAAGAGATGCTCCAGTTAATGAATACAAGACAAAAGCCAAGAAGCGCTGAGTAGACACTGAATAGGACTAAACTATGTACATAATAGTTTTTTGCCTTTTGTTTCATAATAAATTTTATTTATATAACCCTTTTGCTGATTTTTAAAGTGTTACATAAACAGGACAGGTGAAATATTATCATGTAAAGCAACCATAAACACATGAAAAGACCTAGGTTTACAATTTATGATTAAAACTCTATCTACACACTATACGTAGACATAAAATGTAAAAACTTAAATATCTTAGAAACAGTAGCCAATCCGTTGTTTTAATTGTCATATTTGAATTCAGCACATCAAAATACATAATAAATAGCACATTTTATCTCTGAAGCAGATGACTTTTCAAAAATTGTAGACCAGTGTTATTACAATAGCGTGCAGGGTGTGAACACAAGGGTGTATTCCATCACACCATTGTTCTACAGCAATTTACTGTAGTATCTTTATTAGAACAAATTGTTATAATTAAATAGCACCCAAAAGAAAGTGAAGTGGTTTACCTGGGTATTTCTATGGTAGAGGCTGCATTGTGTAACTGGCCCATGTCTGATCCAGCCAAGCATCTACATTTCCTATTCCCAACAATGTAAACATGCACACGGATCAGTCAGCCACTGTTAGGGTGACCAGATGTCCCTATATTAGGGGCTCTTATACATGCAACTATTCCTCCCCCCGTCCCAATTTTTCACACTTGCTCTCTGTCACCCTGACACTTACACTGACTGCATACAAGGCGTTTTTTCAAGGCAGATGACTTGCTGGGGAGCATCACTGAGGGGTTTGGTCACGTCCCCTGGCCTGGTGCTTGGAACTGTCACAGCAATTGAACTGCAGGTATAAGGAGAGAGAGAGAGACACCGGAGTCGATGGCAGTTGCCTGCCGGCACGTGTCGTGCCCGCTTTATCCATGTGGGAACCCCCCTCCCCCATCCTTCCGCCTGGGGCGCGCGCGGCCCGATGGGTCTCTCTCTCTCTCTCCCAGGGCTAGAGATTTGGTGACGTCATGGAACTGGGGGCGGGAGGGGGCAGCTGATGGCGCGCGCTGCCCACGCGGTGTCCCTCCCTCCCTCCTGCGCTCGGTGCTCAGCCGCCGCAGTGCTCGCGCGGCGATTCGGCCCCACAGAAGCTCCAGCAGGCGCCGCTCGCTGCGCCCCGGCACCCTCGGGCGGCTCCAGGGGGAAGCGGAGCTTTGCGCAGGGCGGCCGCGAGGCGATGAGGACGATGAGCTCCCCGTGGGCTCGGTTCTACTCCAACAGCTGCTGCCTGTGCTGCCATGTGCGCACCGGGACCATCATCCTCGGCGTCTGGTACCTGGTGAGCGAAGCTGGCAGGGAGCGGCCATAGCCCAGCACGTTAGCCAGGGCTGCACCCTGCGGTGGGGCTGGCGTGGGTGTCCCGGGGCGGGAGCTGCCCCCTCCCCCTCCTGAGGGTCGGGCTGGGCTGGCTTGGGAATGGGCCCCGGAGCTTGCTCTCTGGGGAGAGGGGTGCAGGAGACGCTCCTAGGAGAAACGGGGCGGGAGGTCTGAGGAGGTGGGGGAAGCACAGGGGACCCCTGTGAAAATGCGCTTCCTTCCCTTGGGTTTGTCCCAAGAGTCGGGAGTGGTAGAAGCCGAACAGCCAAAGCTGGACGTGGGCCCTTGTCCTCTATGGTGCATGTGAAAGGGGCCATCGCTTGGGTCTGGGAGGGGGGCATGGTTGAAAGTTAGACCCTGCCAGTTCTGGGCCCCAGCACCCCAAATTCCAGAACTTGGCAGGATCCAGATCCCAATGTTTGTGTTGCTGTTGGTCACGGGCACGTCAGATTTTTGAGGTGCAGTAGGAGCCACTAAATAGGTTCTCTATTTAGCCAGGGAATTTTCAGAGTTGGGGACAAAAATTAGCTGATCCAGGGGCCAGATAGAGGATTTTGCAGTGCTGTTGTGGCAGGATGCATCAGGGCATGGGGGATTTGGTGCAAAAGCAGCAACTCGATTTGACACTAGCTCTGTTAGACAGTAGAATTTGGGGGGGGGGAGCTGGGACCAAATATTGTCAGGGCCCAGATTTTCTCTTTTTTTGTCCTGCTGGGGTCTTCACCAGTGTCCAATGAGAGTATCTATGGAAAGGCTAGGCAATGTGGTCATTGTGGTTGCTTGAAAAAGGAGGTTCACTAATTCCCTCAGTGTTTCATACTTATTGGCTTTCCTTTAGTAGAGACTTCATAGAGGCTGGCAAGTCAAAGCCCCGTTTTGCGCTTTGAACAGGCAATGCGCATTTGGGCCTGATTCTCTTTTCAGTTACACTGGTGTAAAGCAGGGGTAGCTGAATTAAGCCAATGTGGTTCCGCTGGTGCAGGGGAGAGGAAGTGGGCTCAAAGATTTCAGTGCATGCTAATAAGACAACCCATGACGCTGTCTAGTGGAAATATCAGTAAAACAAATAAATGTCAGCTTCATGTAAAAATAGCTCCTGAAATTGTGCCTACTACCAACAACCTTTTGCTTTGGACAGCGTAACACAAAAGTTTCCAGAAAAACACTGTCCAAAGGGAAAACCTAACTGCTGTTCCCCTCTGAGCCAGTCAATATTTGTATAAAATAATTTCTGTTATATTGAAATGGAAGGTGATTCCATTGACTATCAAAAGAAACTGTTATAGTATCATAAACGGCTAACCACTAATGGCTTGACAGAGGGCTAGATGGGGATAACCGATTATTTAAAATTTACAAATTCTTCGTTGTCTAGGTTTCATCTCTCCCCTATCCTTTCATTTGTTGTTTGTTTCTTAGATTTTAAACTCTAGTTTGGGCTAGGGATTGTGTCTGTTTCTGGGTTACATCTTGCTACTGATTTTTAAGCAGCAACTTCAATGAGTTCTGCTTCAAAATGTCCAGAAAGGACCTGTTCATTGTGAGCACTGCTGTAACACAAATAATAAGAATCCCCAATCTCCTGCCTGAGTCCATGTTTATTTCCAGTGCTTTCATACTTTGCCTTTTATAATTATTGTTCTGCATCTTCGATTGTTGCTGGTAGCTGGTGTGGAATACTGATTTCAGCTGCTAATGCTGCTTTTCAGGAGAGTGGCTATTTCTGGGGAGAGAGCCTCTAAAGGGTTGTATTATTAGCAACATAATCCTTATAAAATACAGTAATTCCCTCTAGGCTGCCACAATCTGTAAATCTGCAAGCAGTTTCCTTCCTAGACTGACCATAAAGAACTCAGAGAATCCCATTTAGATGCTACCTAAGTTAGAAGATAAACAATGTTCATGACATGAAAAAAGTGCACTTTTAAACGTTGCATATTAAATTGTCGTTTACGTGATTCCCTGTTTTAATTTGAGGCTGGATTGAATGGTCACATAGCACTAAACTAATGACGCTAGAGTAACATTAAACAAAAAGTAGCCCTGCTGTGCAATGAAATTATGATAGTTAAAAAACCCAACATTTGCACATTTTTAAATAAATTTCCAAAACCAGTGTTGAATGTAGGGGTAGCAAATGGTAAATTACAACATTAGCCAAATCAAGGTTTATTTTATTGATGGTATATATTAAACATATACTGGTATTAGGCTGGAAATCTTTCTGATATCCATGGTTAGTGTTCACATGAGGAATTTGGAAGGTTTTTATAGTCATTAGTAGTATTGCAGTTCTTTATTTGCCAGATAATTGAGTATTTGGACTTTTTGTATGTTTGATGAATAAATTAAAAAAATACATGAGTGTTCTTACCAGAAAAGGTTCTTCATCCCTACCGCTTTTATAGGAAATTAGTGAGGCAAACTGCACTAGAGGCATGAATCCAATTTCTGACTATCATGTCTCCACTCCTTGGGTAGCAATGCAGGGAAATCAGCTACGCAGAGGTCAGTGCTGCCATTGCAGGATTTGCAAACATGTTGTTATAATAAAGAAATCTGGTTCATTGCTTCAGACTATGCAGATGTATTTCATGCCATGTTCAGTCTTCTCCAGCTCTTGATACAAGAGACCAGAGTCTGAATCTGACTCCAAGACTATCCATTTTTTTTCAGATATGTGGTATTACAGATTAGACCCAGACTTACTTACTAACCCCTGAAATTTCCTTTGGAAACAAGTGGAAATTGCAAGGCTGTAGTTGATGTAGGGCATCTTGTTAAATAAATTCATCAGAGTAATTAAAAGGCTAAGTTGACATTGATCTGTTAGAATTCATATAAAACAGTCTGTGTCCTATAAAACAGATGTTACGCTGCTGAGTAAATTAGACATTGATTTAGCTATGTATTGCTTTTACTTTAATATAATATAGTTAAATGAAATCATTTGCAGGCATGTACCATGGTATCTGGGATATTTATAGTGCTGAAGGAGAGTTCCTTTTTCATTGTGGTCATGTGTTTTAATTTCATTTCCTAAAAGCTTTTGAGCAGCTCTTCCAGGACGCATGGCTTTATTCAGTCTGACTTCAGTGTGCAGGGTTGGATGAAGCCTCTCTATCCTGGCTTAAGAAAAGCTAGGTGAAAGACATTTTGGCTTTCAAATAATTTTTTAAAAGAACATTTTAGATAAGAAATGGGAACTTAAATGCAACAGTTAAACTTACATATGAATAAATATATACTTGTCATTTTAATTGAGACAATGCGTAAGACATACTATCTCCATACTATTGCCCTGGTTCAGCAAAGCATCTAAGCGTATGCTTAAGTCCATCTCCATTTAGAAAAGCATTTAAATACATGTCTAATTTTAAACATGTGCTCAAGTCCTATTGACTTCAATTAGTTATAAGACCATGCTTAAAGTTAGACAGGTACTCAAGTGCTTTGCTGAATCGCAGCCTGTATTATCTAATCCTCCAAGTGAGTAAAACTTGTGTGGCAATTCTTTTCAGCAACAACTTTAATTTTTATCTTATTTTCTTGAAATCTGGTTAAGGAAAATGTAGTTTCAAATTAGCTACTTCTTCTTAAAACTCACTAAATCATCATTTGTATACTGTTAAAATGTTTTCTTTTCTTTTTTGTCTATAAAACATTCCTTAACTTGCATTATATCCCTCTTTAGTTTCTTCTCCGCTTTTTGCACAAATATCCTTCAACATGAATTTTTGAGTTATTCAAACTGATATTAAATCATGACATTCATGGAGGGGGGAGGGATAGGTCAGTGGTTTGAGCATTGGCCTGCTAAACCCAGGGTTGTAAATTCAATCCTTGAGGGGGCCATTTAGGGAATCTGGGGCAAAAATCTGTCTGGGGATTGGTCCTGCTTTGAGCAAGGGGTTGGACTAGATAACCTCCTGAGGTCCCTTCCAACCCTGGTATTCTATGCCATATGGTTGTAGATCATTTAAAATTAAAGTTGGAAGGCTGTAAATGCAATAGACATTCTTGATGAATGGGGGTAAGAGTTCATGAAGAAATTTACCACTAGCAAATATACAGAGACAAATTACTTACTGATTTATTTAATAATCAGCTAACCTGGTTGAAAAGACACAGGTTATTGTCATTTATGAAAAGCTTTTTGTATCTCAGGATATCAACTGTGACTTTGTAATTCATAGAATGGTGGGTATATTTATAAATAGATGATGGTAGGTTTATCTGCCTGATTTTGAGACAGTTGTATTACTTATGAATAGCAAAGCCACAAGTGAATTAGGCAGATTATCTCAAATAAACACCAAAAAATGTTGATATTTCCCACATCGTTATGCACTCTGCAGGACAATATTTTATGGAAAATGGCTGTGGAAATATTTCAGAGAGCTGTAAAAATGTTTTTGCTGTCACTATTTTTAATATCCCTGACCAGTAAAGGCAGGTTGTTTGAAGCTGCTCAGCAGTCTGGGATACTGGAAGTACCACTGGCAGAGAGTTTAGGGAGCAGAGTGCAGGTGATGTGGTCAAAGTGGCATAATCAGAGCATTTTGTTACATAGATATTGCTAGAGCCTTATGACATTATTTTAAAGTTTTCATTTTATTTTTGGGGCATTTTATTTTATCCATTAAAATGTTTTATTTTTTTATTACATTTAAATTAATAAAATACACAGATGACTATATATAAATGTAAACCATGTATAAACCCAGTTAATCTATGCTACATCATTTTATTAAGTATAATGTATTATTCCACGCATTGAGTTGTTTAACAACCCCCACCACTATTCCCCACCCAGACAGCTACTTAGGTTCCCCCCTTGAAATTTACCCAGTTCTGTAGCCCCCAGGTAATCCCTACTTCTCCATCCCACTCAGTGACACAAACCTCATGGGACACCACGGATCTTCCCAACCCCTACTGCTTCCTTTTGCAGTCCCCACC